TTGAAAAAGTCATTGAAAAATATTTAAAATTGTTTCGCAAAAAATATCTTTTGAAATTTTTTTTTATTTCAATTTCCCATTGCACCTACCTTCCCTTGACATTGTCCTTTAAGATTTTATTTTGTTTACAGTTGCCTCAACATTGACATACATTTCCTTCCGATAACTTACAGAGGCAAAAAAAAAACAATAACAAATTGATATTTGTTAAAGGACATTTATTTATAAATACCAGCCTCCCGTTTGGTTCTTTTTTCTCGCCAAACAAATTTAAGGTCATTTTTGTACGCTCTCTTTCTCTGTTACACACACTCTCTCTTCAATTTTGTTGCTCTCCCCCTAATGGAGAGCTTTAATCAAGTTTTATGCCAAGTAAACAATAACACCATTGTGAGGTCGTTTAGTAACCTTAAACTCTAGCCTTAACCTAAACCTTGAAACTGCATGCATGGACCAACTGGATTCGGTTGGTCGTTGTCCATGCATTTCTCCCCCCCCCCCCCCTTTTTAGACACGATATGCACTAATGTCCTCAATTCTGGCATACGTGTGTGTGAGTATGTATACATATGTATATGTTTTGGAGCAATACAAAAATAGCATTAAGGCTACTTGTTTGGTTATGGCAACAAAATGGGACATATTTTTGGAGGTTATTTTTGATTTTGGATATCATTGGAAAAATTTGCAACAGGATATGGCACAGTAGAGCCTCTTAAACAAAGATTTTCTTTTTGGAGAAAAAAGAGAAAATTTTCGTAGAAAATATTTTTTTATAGAGAGAATTTGAAAAAATAGAATAGAAAAATTTTCAGCGAAAAAAAAATTAATTCAGCCAATTTTCAAAAAGGGTAGTGTACTAACTGACTGAATATTTTCTGATATAGAAAATTTTTCTGAGAAAAAAATTTTCAATTTTCAAAAAGAGTACTGCAATGACTGACTGAGATTCAACGGCCAGACCAAACAACTGAAACTAAAATCTTGAAATTTTGAATTAGAGTCAGTCTTGGTGTGATAAGACTGGATTTTTTGGAAATTGATACTTAAATGTACTAAAAATATTAAAATGTACTTAAAGTACTAAAAATGTACTAAAAGTTGAGACTTTGTATACAGAAGGAGCTAGTATTTCGTACAAATATAAGACGCATTTTCAAATGTACTAAAAATATTAAAATGTACTTAAAGTACTAAAAATGTACTAAAAGTTGAGACTTTGTATTGGACATACAGAAGGAGCTAGTATTTCGTACAAATATAGGACGCATTTTCAAACCACCGCCAAATTTCGATTCCAGATACTAACAGAGACCTTAAAATCAAATTTGAGTATTCCAGCACTATCCCTACACCCAATCCCAAATTTAGTACCACTTAGTACTTTTCGTACAAATATAAGACGCATTTCTAAACCACTGCCAAATATCAAACACAGATACCAACATTTCTCTAAATCTCACAATTCAAAATTGCATTTCTATATCTTCACCAAAAAAAAAAAAACAAACAAATTTAGTACCACATGGACGCATTTCCATAACCATCTCCATATCTCAATTCCTGATACTAACAGAGGCCTCGATAACAAATTTGAGGATTCTAGCCATTTACCCAATATCAAATTTCGTACCCAAATTTAGTAAAATTTCGTACTTTTCGTAGAAATATGGCACGCATTTTCAAACCACCGCCCAATTTCGATTCCAGACAGCAACAGAGACCTCAAGAGCTAGTATTTTGAAATTTGATGGAGTGCAGGATAGATGTACCAGGGGATTTTTAGGAATGCCAACTTTAAGGTTACGAAAAATTCCCAAAATGGTACTAAAATTCTGAAATGGTAAAATGTGGACGAATAAAGGTACAAGTGTGAAATTCGGTTAGAGAATGAAGTTTCGAAAGCAACTTTGATATATGAAGGTGCTTTCGAAAATGTGTACTAAGTCCGCGAACTGTACAAAAAAGGTACTAAATATGAAAAAGTTTGGGGTAGGGTGAAAGGATGAAGCTGGAATTTTGGAAAAGTTTTGTTATGGGTTTCCTGTTGGTGGAGGTTGTTGTTTCTGATAAAGAGGTAATTTTGTAAATGTGTACCACAAGTGTACGAAAAGTACTAAATTGTACCATAATTAATATCAATAGAATTTTGAAATTTGATAGATTTTGATGGACTGCAGGATAGATGCACTAGAGGGTTATTAGGAATACTAATTTTAAGGTTACGAAAAGTTCTCAAAATGGTACTAAACTTCTGAAATGGTACCATTTGGTGAAAATGTTGACGGATAGAGCTAAAATTGTGAAATTCGGTTTGAGAATTAAGTTTGGAAAGCAACTTTGATATATGAAGGTGGTTTTGAAAATGTGTACCAAGGGCGCGAACTGTACGAAAAAGGTACTAAATATGGAACATGTTTGGGATAGGGTGAAAGGATGAAGCTGGAATTTTGGAAAAGTTTATTAAGGGGTTTCCTGTAGCTAGGTAGTTTTGTAAATGTGTACGACAAGTGTACGAAAAGTACTAAATAGTACTATAATTGATATCAATAGAGTTATGAAATTTGATAGATTTTGCTGAACTGCAGGATAGATGTACCAGAGGATTTTTAGGAATGCGAACTTTTAAGATTGCGAAAAGTTCTGAAAATGGTACTAAACTTCTGAAATGGTACCATTTGGTAAAAACTTGTACGAATAGAGCTCAAAGTGTGAAATTCGGTTTGAGAATCAAGTTTTGAAAGCAAATTTTATATATGAAGGTGGTCTTGTGTACTAAGTGTGCCAAATGTACTAAATAGTACTATACTTGGTACAATTCCGTTTTGGGTGAAAGGATGAAGCTGGAATTTTGGAAAAGTTTGTTATGGGGGTTGGTGGTGGTTGTTATTTGTGATAAAGAGGTAGTTTTGGAAATTTACACCACAAGTGTACAAAAAGTACAAAATAGTACTTTATTTCGTACAAATTGCTATTGGGTAAATAGAAAGCGCTTGAAATCTCGAAATTTGGTATTAGAATCACTGTTAGTATGTGGGATTGAGATCTGGAATTGATTTTGGAAAAAGTAGTAAAATGTACTAAATGGTACTAAATTTGATATTTGGGTTAGGGTGAAAGGATGAAGCTGGAATCTTGAAATGTTGGTATTGGGGGCTACCTGTTGGTGGTGGATAAGGATGTAGTTTTGTAAATGTATACTACAAGTGTACGAAAAGTACTAAATAGTACTATAATTGATAAAATTTGCTATTTGGTAAACAGATAGCGATTGAAATCTGAAATTTGGTATTAGGATCACTGTCAGTGTGTAGGTTTGAGATTTGGTGGTGATTTTGGAAATACGTACTAAAAAGTACTAAATATGGTTTTTGGGTTGTAAGCGGTTGAGAAATCTTAAATATGGCATTCGGAACACCTTTTGAGCGGTTAGGTTGGCATATGGCGGGGGAATTGGAAAAACGTACTAAATAGTACGATAGGTACTAAATAGTATTCATTTTGGTATTTGGAAAGGAATGTAGCTGGAATTCTGAAATTTGGAGTGTCTTTGATGTTGTGTTGGGTAGGCAATCTAAAGGATTTTTTGAAATAGTACCAAAAGTACTAAAATACACTAAATTTAGTACCATTCGGAATTATGTGAGCGGTTGGTGGTAAAATCTTGAAATTTGGTAAAAGAATCACTTCATGGCAATGGGGTTGAATGTATGGAGGTGGTTTTGGAAATGTGTACTAAATGTGAGAAATGTACCAAATGGTACTAAATTCTGTACAATTCTATTCTTGGGCAGCGGAAGAAGATTGTAATTTGATAAGCTGGTAGGATAAGCGTACGAAAGGATTCAGAATTAAAGTTGGTTTTGGAAATGTGTACTGCAAGTGCACGAATAGTACTAAATAGTACCATATTTGTAACATTTTAGTATTGCGTGAACAGATTGCACTTGAAATCTGAAATTTGGTATTACGTTCGCTGTTCATGTGCAGCTTGGACATCTGAAGCTGGTTTTTGGAAATTGTACGAAAAGTACGGAATTGTACTAAATTTGGTATTGGGTGAAGGGATTGAGCTAGAATCCTCAAATTTTATAATGAGGTCTCTGTTGGTATCTGGGATTGAAATTCGGGGGTGGGTTTGGTAATGCGTTCTATAAAAGTACCAAGTGGTCCTCAATTTTGTATTGAGTGAAGGGATACAGCTGAAATCTCCGTTAAGGTCTCCGTTGGTATCTGAAATTGAGATATGGAATTGGTATTTGAAATGTGTACTACAATTGTACAAAAAGTACTAAATTTTGTATTGGCTGAGATTTGAAATCCTGAAATTTTATATAAATGTCACTGTTGGTGTCTGTAGTTAAAATATGGTGATAGCGTTGGAAATCTGTACTATAATTGTTCGAAAAGTGCAAAGAGGTACTAAATTTGGTATTGGGTGAATTTGAAATCCTAAAATTCGATATTTAGGTTGCTGTAGCTTTCCAGGGCTTATGTATGGAGACATTGAAATAGTTGTGATCAGAAATATTTGAAAATATTTTCATACACAGAAAATTTTTCGGAAAAAACATTTTAGAAAAGAAAGGGAGAATTTTTTTTTTTTTTTTGAAGAACATATTTTTATAAAAAAAATTGCTAAACAAAATATGAAATTGAATAAAACTATGAAATTGAATGAAAATTCCTATAGTTTTTGTTTCTATTATCATTTGATGCTGGTTCCACTGTAAATAATTTTCCGCTTAACACGCATCAATGATGTTTTAAATTTCGCGGAATTCCCTATTTGGTTTACCACCTTATGGTTCGCAGGATGAATGGACACAACATACATACATGTAGATTGGGAAATCGCATTGCATGAATGACTGGTCATTGTGGTGGTGGGAGGATGGAGGTCCCGAAAACAAAAATCAAAAAAAAAAAACATGGAGCACATTTATGGTGACATCCTTGTATTTTTGGAGGTCATGGTGGAGGATGGCACAAGTACTTACTCTATTCGATTTCGGTGTGTCCAGTTTTATTTTTTTTTTTTGTTGTTTTTGTTGTAATCACAGCTCAACTATGGCATATAGAGATAGGCAGGAGTTGTACAGATTATGCATCAAAAATCAAAAAAGATGTTTTAAAAATATTTTCGCTACACTTTTTTCGTAGATATTTTTGGTAATAATTCTCTGAAAACTTTTGCAAAAAAATATCGTTGTTTTTTTGTTTTTTGTTATAGATTTTCAATTATTTTTTTAATTTTCTCAAACGTTTTCCTTTTTTAATTTTTCTCCCAAGTGCAACAGTTTTGGTTCACAGCTGCACTACTGATGTCGTCTTCCATGCAATACTCTCATTTATTTTCTCGTTTCTTTTGTTTTTCTTGTTTGCAATTTTTCTCGATTTTCTAAACTTTTTCACACTTTGGCAACATTTGTTTAGGAACTTTTGAAATCTGTGCAATTTTCTTTTTACAATTCTTTTTGCAATTAATATTTTTTTCGAATTTCTTTTTTTTTAATTTTTAATAAAATATTCTTCGATTTGGGTTTTTTTTTTGTAATTTTTAAAATAAATTTTTTTCAAAGATTGCGTATTTTTTTGGAATTTCGTTTATTGTTTAACCGTTTTCAATATCCACTTCCTTGGAGTACCACTTTGCAAGTGGTTGTCAATGCATTTTCGCAATGCACAAGTAATGCTGTTCGTTAGTTTTATGTATTTCCCTTTTGCCTGTAAACACGGCGAAAGCTTGGCCAACGAATGCATCTCAGGCTCTCTCTCAGTCCTTTGGTTGTAGGCAACAACTGGTATTGGTATTGTGTTCTCCATCTCGTTCTCTCGCTCTCTCACACAAAGTATTTTTCAAGTTCATGTACTTTGATTGAACACAGTAACCGCATTGCTCTCTGGGCACACACAAACACACACACACACGCAGACACACACATCTCTTCCATGGCCAAGGTCAGTGTTGTCGTTTGAGATTTTGGTTAACAAACAAAGATTTTACCTTGAAAAGCGACCAAAAAATCCCCCCACTGTAATAGTAAAAATCCCTGAAAAATAAGTTTCTTGTCATATATCTTCATAATTATAGAGATAGAATACGAGAGAAAGAGAGAGAGAGGGAGAGAAATGTAGAACAAACATAATGGTTCTTTGTATATGAATAAAAATCATATTTTCAGAAAAAGGTATCAAATTCTAAAAAACCAAATAATAAAATTAATTTGAATTTTATATTTTGAAAAACCCGACAAATTGTATATTTGGTCCAAAAAAAATGCTAAAAGGAAATCAACAGGTTTTGGCAAAAAAACATTAATTAATTTATAAACTGTGGAAAATCTGGCAGAGAAAATTTTGGAAACCGATCCAATTTTTGAATTTGGGCAAAAAGTTGTTAAAAGGGAAAAAATCAACAGGTTTTGCCACAAAAAAAAAAAACAATCAATCAATCAACGAATCAACAGGTTTTGGCAAAAAAGTATTAATTAATTTATAAACTTTGGAAAATCTGACCGAGGAAAATTTGGAAATAGATAAAATGAATTTGGGCTAAAAGTTGTTAAAAGGTTCTCAAATTAACAGGTTTTGCCGAAAAAAAAAAAATAATTAATTAATTTATCAATTTTGGGCAATTCGACCAAAATTTGAATAATTTCCAATCCCTACCAACAATGACAACCTACTTACTTGTAAAGTCCGCAAGTTACTGTAACTTAAAAAAATATACTCAAAAGAGCCGGATTTGTTCAAAATTTTCAAAAAACAATTTTTTTTTTGTGAAAACCGACCAAAATTGGATATAAAGTTTAAAATATTCTTAAAAAATAACAAAATAGTTTATTTTTATTATTTTTTTTTTTTTTAATAAAAAATAGTTTAGAAAACATAAAAAAACAATTTATCAGTTCAAAGAACCAAACAAATATTCTCGAATTTAGATTTAAAAAAATACGATATTTCGGAAAACCGACCAAAATCCTAATTTTTAATTTATGCCAAAAAATTACCAAAAAATACCCAAAATCAACAGTTTTTGTCAGGAAAAAAATGATTTGAAATTTCGAGAAATTCGACCAAAATATAATAATTCGGAAAACCGACCAAAAACCTCATTTTTTAATTTATGCTAAAAAATACCGAAAATACACTACATCAAAATTTTTTGTCAAAAAAAATATGTTTTCAAATTTTGAGAAATCCGACCAAAATATAATATTTCGGAAAACCAACCAAAACCCTAAAAAAAACTACCAAAAATACACTACATCAACATTTTTTTGTCAGGAAAAAATATGTTTTTAAATTTTGTGAAATCCGACCAAAATATAATAATTCAGAAAACCGACCAAAACCCTATTTTTTAATTTATGCCAAAAAAACTACCAAAAATACACTACATCAACATTTTTTTGTCAGGAAAAAATATGTTTTCAAATTTTGAGAAATCCGACCAAAATATAATATTTCGGAAAACCGATCAAAACCCTAATTTTTAAACTGTACCAAAAATACACTCCCTCAACAGTTTTTGTCAAGAAAAAAAATTATTTAAAATTTTGGGAAATCCGACCAAAAGTTGCAAAAAATACCCAATTCTCCCTGTTGGTATTTGAGGTTGAAATATAGAGATTGTTTTAAAAATGTGTACCATAATTGTTCGAAAAGTACTAAATGGTTCTAAATTTTATATAAGGTTAAGGGATAGAGCGTGAATCCCGAATTTTGATATTGAGGTTTCTGTTGGTATCTGGAATTGAGATATGAAAGGTGGTTCTGGAAATGTGTACTATAATTTCACGAAAAGTACAAAATGATACTTGATTTGGTTCTGGGTGAAGTGGTAGGTTTGGAATCCTCAAATTTGATATTGAGGTCTCTGTTGGTATCTTGGATTGAGATAAGGGTCGCTGTTGGTAACTGAAGTTAAGAAAAGGTGGTAGTTTTGGAAATGTGTACCACAATTGTTCGAAAAGTACTAACTGGTACTAAATTTGGTATTGAGTGAAGGGATAAGTTTGGAATCCTCAAATTTGATATTGAGGTCTCTGTTTTATCAGGCTTTTATATATGGAGGTGGTTTTCCAAAGCGTACCATAATTGTTCGAAATGTACTAAATGGTACTAAATTTTGTTTTGGGTGAAGAGATAGGGCTTAAATCCCAAAATTTGATATTGAGGTCTCTGTTGGTATTTGATGTTGAGGTTTTTGAAAATTAAAAACTATAATTGTACGAAAAGCACTAAATGGTACAAAATTTGGTACTGGGTGAATGGGTAGAGATAAAAATCTGAAATTTGATATTAAAATTACTGATGATATTTGACGTTGAGATATGGAGGTTGTACTAAAGTGCTAAATTCCGAAATTTGATATTGAAGTCTCTGCTGGTATTTGGTGGTGGTTTTTCAAAGGAGTGTCATAATAGTTCGAAAAGTACTAAATGGTACTAATTTTGGATAATTGAAAAAATGTGGATTTTGAGTACTAACAAGAAAAAAAAACAGTAAATTCGGCTGGGCCGAACTTTGAATACCTTCCACCATTTGGAACGAATTTGGAAATGTTTGAAAAAAACTTAAAAAAATTCTGTTAAAATTTTAAAAGTACCAAATATAGAAAGTCGTCGTCATATTGGCGATCTATACGAAGACGTGGACTTGCATGGGCAACTTTTGTCATAGGTCATTACAATATTCAAATACGAAACTTGAAAAAATGTCGGTGAATAAACACCTAAAATCATGAAAATGCCGAATATAGGGAGGTACCGTTATAGGGGGGTTATATCAAGACGTGATCCGGCATAGGCAATTTTCCGTCACAAGCTGTAGTACGTATTGGGACTTCAAGTACGAAATTTCAAACAATTTCGGTGAATATTTCACCTAGAACCGTCAAAATAATGAATATAGGGAGGTACTGATATATGGGGCCTATACGAAGACCTCGACCTGCATAGAAAATTTTCTGACATTGACTTAAGTTCCCATAACGAACTCTAAATACGAAATTTCGAAACAATTCCGGTGAATATTGTACCTAAAATCATTAAAATACCGAATATGGAGAGGAGACGGTATGGGGGGCCTATACGAAAACGTGGACCTGCACGGACAATTTTCTGTCATAGACTGTAGTTCCCATTACGAACTTCAAATGCCAAATTTGAAACAATTCCGGTGAATAATGTCGCCAAAATCATTAAAATACCAAATATCGGAGGGTGCCGTTATGTGGGGGCTATACGAAGACGTGGGTCGGCATACGCAATTTGTTGTCATAGTCTGTAGTACCCATAAAGATCTTCAGATACGAAATTTGAAACAATTCCGGTAAATAATGTCGCTAAAATCATCCAAATACGGAATATCGGGGGTACCGTTGTATGGGGGCTACACGAAGACGTGGATCGGCATACGCAATTTTTTGTCATAGGTTGTAGTACCCATTACGAACTTCAAATACGAAATTTGAAATAGTTCCGGTGACTAATGCCGCTAAAATCATCAAAATACAAAATATCGGGGGGTACCGTTGTATGGGGGCTACACGAAGACGTGGGTCGGTATACGCAATTTTTTTGTCATAGACTGTAATACCCATTAGGAACTCTTAATACGAAATTTGGGACAATTCCCGTGACAAATGTCGCTAAAATCATCCAAATACTGAATATCGGGGGGTACCGTTGTATGGGGGCTACACGAACACGTAGGCCGGCATAGGCAATTTTTTGCCATAGGCTGTAGTACCCATTAGGAACTCTTAACACGAAATTTGAAACAATTCCGGTGAATAGTGTCTCTAAAATCATCCAAATACCGAATATCCGGGGGTACCGTTGTACGGGGGCTACACGAAGACGTGGGCCGACAAACGCAATTTTTTGTAATAAGTTGTAGTATCCATTACGAACTTCAAATATGAAAATTGAAACAATTCCGGCGAATTTTATCTCAAAAATCATGAAAATACCGAATATCGGGGGTACCGTTGTACGGGGGCTATACGAAGACCTGGACCTGTTTAGACAATTTTCTGTCTAAGTCTGTAGTATCTATTATGTACTTCAAATACCGAATTTGAAACAATTACAGTGAACAATGTAGCTAAAATCGTTAAAATATGTAATATCGGAAGGTACCCATATATGAGGGCTATACGAAGACGGGGACCTGTTTAGACAAATTTCTGACATAGGCTGTAGTATCTATTACGAACTTCAAATACCAAATTTAAAACAATTCCGGTGAATAATATCGCTAAAATCATCAAAATACCGAATATCGGAGGGTACCGTTGTATGGGGGCTACACGAAGACGTGGATCGGCATACGCAATTTTTTGTCATAGGCTGTAGTACCCATTAAGATCTTCGAGTACGAAATTTGAAACAATTCCGGTGAATAATGTCTCTAAAATCATCCGAATACCGAATAGGGGGGGGGGGGTACCGTTATATGGGGGCTATACGATATCGTGGACCTATGTAGACATTTCTCTTCCATGGGGTAAAGTGCTTAGAAAGAACTTCTTTTGTGGATTTTCAGTCAATTCCATTGAAAAATGTGGTTAAAATCACCAAAATACCGAATATCGGGGGGTACCGTTATATGGGGGCTATATGATATCATGGACCGATAAAGCCCATCTTCGAACTTGGCTTGCCTGCCAGGACAAAAAACTGAGCTGTGCTAAATTTTAGCTTCCTATCTTAATTCGTTTTGACTCTAGCGTGATTACAACAGACGGACGGACGGACAGGACCAAATAGTTTTATTGAATTTTATGCTGATCAAGAACATATATACTTTGTTGGGTCTAAACTTATTATTTCCATGAGTTACAAATGGAATGACAAACTTAATATACCCTCCATACTATGTATGGTATGGTGGAGGGTATCAAAATAGTCAAGAATAAAATATCTTGTTTTGATGCCTATCAATCAATCAAAATATTCCAGAAAATATGAAATCTAACGAAATATATAACTATTCTCTTAAAAGGATCATAAATCTTAAATAGACCCAAAAATAATAAATAAATTAAAAAAATCTCCCTCGGAGAAGATTTATTTAATATAATTTCCTAACACCCCCTTTGGTCTCTAAATGGCGAAATTTAAATATTTGCCCAATATTTTTCCTCGAAAACATCCAAACTGGCAACTCTGCCCCCCAATTAACCACAATTCTCTCTTCAACTAATACAAACGCATGCATGCACAGACACACTCGTCGCATTCATGGCCAAGGTACCAAAATATTCAAAGCCATACCAAACAGCCAGCCAGCCAGTCAGCCATCCAAAAATACAGCAACAAAAAGTGTTACAACTTTGCAAGGCTGTTGGACCCACACAAGTCCAATGTCAATGGAAACGCAGCATCAACATGGTCAAATGGTATGTACCTGATGACGCTGTGTGCATATATGTGTGTGTGTGTGCGGGCGCGTCTGTGTATCTCTGTTCAATTATGCACTTGCTTGTTGTAGTTTGTTTTATTACGGAAGTACCATTGAGTAAATGGAGATTTTCAATGCGGAGAAGGGTGTTGCGTGGCGTATGAGTAATATTTTTTACGATATTGTTGCGTATACGCACCAAAGTTAGGCCATTTTGGAAGTTTGCAGATTTTTTAAGAATATTTTTTAAAATCATGATTTTAGGCTCTTGTTTAAGCCTTATGTTACCTTCCTTTTATTATACCCTCCACCGGGTAGTATGGAGGGTATATTAAGTTTGTCATTCTGATTGTAACACCTCGAAATATACATTTCAGACCCCACAAAGTATACATATTCTTGATCAGCATAAAATTCTATGTCGAGTTAGCGATGTTCGTCCGTCTGTGGAAATCACTCTAGCTTCCGAACGAAATGAAGTAGGTTGATAAAATTTTACTCCAATGTATATAATGTCTACAGGACTTTTAGTACTGAAAATGGGCCATGTAGGTCCACGTTTTGGTATAGTCCCCATATAATTGTACCTCCCGATATTCGGTATTTTGGTGATTTAAGCGACAAATTTCACCGGAATTGTCCCAAATTTTGGTATTTGAAGTTCGTAATAGATACTACAGCCTAAGACAGAAAATTGTCTGTGCCGGTCCACGTTTTGGTATAGCCCCCATATAATGGTACCTCCCGATATTCGGTATTTTTATGATTTTAGCGACATTATTCACCGGAATTATTTCAAATTTGGTATTTGAAGTTCGTAATGGATATTACAGATCCACGTCTTCGTATAGGCCCCATATAAGGGTACCTCTCCATATAACCGTACCTCCCGATATTCGAATTTTAGCGACATTATTCCACGAAATTGTTTCAAATTTTGTATTTGAAGTTCGTAATGGATACTACAGCCTAAGACAGAAAATTGTCTGTGCAGGTCCACGTCTTCGTATAGCCCCCATATAACGTCACCTACCGATATTCGGTATTTTGGTGATTTAAGCGACATTTTTTATCGGAATTGTTTCAAATTTGGTATTTGATGTTCATATTGGATACTACAGCCTAAGACAGAAAATTGTCTGTGCAGGTCTGCGTCTTCGTATAGCCCTCATATAACGGTAACTCCCGATATTCGGATTTTAGCGACATTATTCACCAGAATTATTTCAAATTTGGTATTTGAAGTTCGTAATGAATACTAGAGCCTATGACAGAAAATTGTCTGTGCAAGTCCACGTCTTCGTATAGCCCTAATATAACGGTAACTCCCGATATTCGGATTTTAGAGACATTATTCACCGGAAATGTTTCAAATTTGGTATTTGAAGTTCGTAATGAATGCTGCAGCCTCTGACAGAAAATTGTTCGTGCATATCCACGTCTTCGTATAACCCTCATATATCGGTACCTTCCGATATTCGGTATTTTGGTGATTTTGGCGACATTATTCACCGGAAATGTTTCAAATTTGGTATTTGAAGTTCGTAATGGATATTACAGGCTATGACAGAAAATTGCCCGTATAGCCCCCATATAACGTCACCTACCGATATTCGGTATTTTGATGATTTTAGCCACATTATTTACCAAAATTGTTTCAAATTTGGTATTTGAAGTTCGTAATGGATACTACAGCCTATGGCAGAAAAATGGCTGTGCAGGTCCACGTCTTCGTATAACCTCCAAATAACGGCACCTCCCGATATTCGGTATTTTGACGAATTTAGCGACATTAGACTCCGGAACTGTTTCAAATTTAGTATTTGAAGTTCGTAATTAATACTTCAGCTTCTGACAGAAACTTGTCTGTGCAGGTCCACGTTTTGGTATAGCCCCCATATAACGGTACCTCCCAATATTCGGTACTTTAATGATTTTAGCGACATTATTCACCGGAACTGTTTAAAATTGGGTATTTGAAATTCGTAATGGATGCTACAGCCTATGACAGAAAATTGTCCGTGAAGGTCCACGTCTTCGTATAGCCCCCATATATCGGTACCTCCTGATATTCGGTATTTTGATAATTTTAGCGACATTATTCCCGGAATTGTTTCAAATTTGGTATTTGAAGTTCGTAATGGATACCACAGTCTAAGACAAAAAATTGTCTGTGTAGGTCCACGTCTTCGTATAGCCCCCATATAACGGTACCTCCCGATATTCGGTAATTTGGTGATTTTAGCTTCATTATTCCCGGAATTGTTTCAAATTTGGTATTTGAAGTTCGTAATCGATACTACAGCCTCTGACAGAAAATTGTCCGTGCAGGTCGACGTCTTCGTATAGCCCCCATATAACGGCTACATTCGATATTTTTAAGATTTAACAGAATTTTTAACGTATTTTTTTTTTTTTTTTGTTTTTTTGAAAATGCCCAAATTCGTTCCAAATGTTGGAGGGTATTCAAAGTTCGGCCTGGCCGAACTTATTTGCAAAATTATTTTTTTATAATTTTTTATTTTTTTTTTTACATTTTTTGTGACTTTTTTAAGGTTTCCCGAATAAATTTTCGGGGTCTAATATATTTTAAAAAAATATTTTCTTGGGGAACACTTACCAAAGCTGCTTCTGAAATACCTACCCAAAAATTAACCACATTAAAAAAAAAAAAAAATAAAAAATTTATTTTTTCAAAATTGGTTTTCATTTATTAAAAAAAAATTTTCTTTTTCAAAATTTTTTTCCAGGAAAAAGATCAATATGGCAATGAAGTGCAACGTTTGGCCCGTCCACTGCCGGTGGAATATCTGCTGGTCGATGTGCCGGCCTCGACGCCATTGCAGCCGCAGTTTACGTTCTCAAAATATGACAAACGTCAACCATTCCCCGTGGAAAATCGTTACTTGGATGGCCACCTACAAGACTTCAATGCCCTGAGCGCCTATCTCTCACAGTGGGATGATGAGGACTTTCTCGAGGCCATATCTGATTTTCATCTTCTCGTTTATTTGTATAAAATGGATATGTTGCCCATGCGCCAGCATATGATGCCGCTGCTGGAGGCGGTGCGCAATAAGAATCCCAATATGGCCTATGCCTTTAAAAAGGAAGAGGTGTGGAAATTATTGGAATCGCTGATACAGGCCAGCTCAAGTGGTAGTGGGTGAGTTTTGTTGAAACATGATATTTAAATAGGATTTCTAATTTTACCTTTTTACTCTCCTAGGGGCACCACAAGTTATCCTTCCGCATCCTCAACAAATCGCACCGGTGCCGGTGGTGGCTCCTCATCCAATGCCATGGAAAGTTCCGGCATTGATGGCAACACCTGGACCTGTAACCACTGCACGTTTATCAATCGCAGCGAATTGTCATCCTGTGAAATTTGCTCTCTGCCCAGATAGATTTCCCCCCAACAAAAAAAAAAAAAAATGGATTTCCACCAAATTTCCAAAGTCTGCTGTTGCCGCTGCTACTACTGTCTATCATCTATCTATCACATGGAGATTTTCTGCAAGAAAATATCATTCAGAAGAGAATATTTGTTTTTTTTTAAGAAAAAATTCTAAATTTTTTAATTTAATTTAATTTCTAAATCTACAAGCATTACTTTTTCATGGAAATGGCTTTGATAAGAATCAAGAAAAATAAAAGAAAGGAAATTATAAAATAAAACACCCACACAACAACAACAACAACAGAGTTGCGCGTTTGATGTTGTAGACATTTTGCTCTATCATTGTTTCTTTTTTTGTAATTTATTTTAGACTTAAAAAAGGCAATTTATAAAAAAACAAAACAAAAATAATAATAAAATTGTATAATTTTTTTATTTCAATATAAGGAAATATTTTGGAATATTTTTTAGTTCTTTTTATTTCAATATAAGAAAATAATTTGGAATATTTTTTTAATTGAAAAAATAACAAGAAATTCCTTAGGTTGTTTATAATATTTTTTATAGAATTTTTTTCTAATTTCTGCTAATTTAAATTCCCACTTTATTTTCTATTAAAAATTTATAATTCAATTCTTCTAATAATTGAAAAAAATCTTTATTATTTTGTATAAGAAATGTCCACTTAAATCCTGCTGAATTGGACCTTCGCTACGAAAACTTCAATTCAACATTGGCCAGTGAAACTTTCAAAGGAAAAAAGGGAAGCATTTCATTCTTATGGAATGGATTTTCTATAGACCAAGAAACATTGATTTTTTAAATATAAATTTAAAAAAATTTCATGATAATGAATTTTTAAAAAAATATTTTTAAGGAGACCCGTAAAACTTGGTATTTTGAAAAAAAAATATTTTTATGGACCAACAAAACGTGAATAACTTAAAAAAAAATATTTTTTTTAATTGGCCAAATCTGGGGATACATGTGTTTTTCTTCCTCTTAGAACAATTTTTTTTTTGAAATAATGCGCCTTCTTTATTCCTCTTGAAGTATTTTCCCCGAATACATTTGCCTTTTAAGAAGAACACACAGAAATATTCAATTTTATATAAAACTAACAAATGGCCGCTATTTCATCAGCGAAAAATCCACTTTAACATTTTTGATTCGTTCTATGAGATCGAGGTAGTACTAAAAACTTAAAATTTATACAGTTTGACAAATTTTTTTAATCAAAACCTCATATATCATACTAAATTTTGAGACTTTCAAGTTTTTCCTTTTTCAGAAAGAAAAATAGAAAAATGTCTATCATTTCCACCAAAAAGTCTTCAAAATCTTTAATTTTAAAGTTTAGCGAGAAGGATATTAGTAAAACCATTGCTCAATGCTTTAATTTTTCTGCCCAAAACTATTTCAATATTTCCATATGTCAACCCTACAAACCAACACTGACCTCAATATCAAATTTCAGGATTGCATCTCTATTCCTACCACCAGTACCAAATTTAGTAACAATTTCTACGCATATTCAAAATAAACTACATCTCTTAATCCTAGACACCAACAGTACAGGACGCAATTCACATAATACACATTTCCAAAAAATCTCTATATCTCAATTTCAGAAACCAACAGAGTCCTCAATATCAAATTTGTGGATTCCAGCTCTATCCCTTCACCCAATACCAAATTTAGTACCACTTTGTACTTTTCGTGCAATTTTAGAACACATTTCCAAAACCATATCCATATCTCAATTCCACATACTAACAGAGACCTCAATATCAAATTTAAGGATTCCACCCCTATTCCTTACCCAATTCCAAAATTTATTACATTTTAGTACTTTTCGTATAAATGTAGGACGCATTTCCAAAACCCGCCAAATCTTCCAATTCCAATCTTCCAATCAGTAATCTAATTAAATTTCAGAATTTTATATCCATTCCTTCACCCAACACCAATTTTAGTACTATTTAGTACTTTTCGTACAATTACAGAATTACAGCCCTATCCCTTCATCCAATAGCAAATATAGTACCATTTAGTACTTTTCGTACAAATGTAGGACACATTTCCAAAACACCGCCAAATCAGCCAAGAATCAGTAATCTAAATATCAAATTTCAGAATTTTATCTCTATCTTTTCACCCAATACCCAATTTAGTACTTTTCGTACAAGGTGTAATACATATTTCCAAAAACCACCTGAATATCTCAATTCCAGGTACCAAGAGAAACCAAAATATCAAATTTCAGGATTTTTAGTAATTTTCGTACAAATATAGAACGCATTTCCATATCACCGCCAAATCTTAATTCCAGATACCAACAGAGAGCACAATATAAAAAAAATTCCAGCATCATCCGTTCACCCTAAACCAACTTGCTGCTAATGTAGTACCATTTAATAAAATTCTCACACTTAGTATATATTTCCAAAACCACCTTTACATATTTCAAACTTACTTTCCAACTTCGATTCTCAAACCAAATTTCAAATTCGTAGCTCTATACGTTCACATAATACCAAATGGTATCATTTTGGAAGTTTAGTACAATTTTAGAACTTTCCATTACCTTAAGGTTCAAATTTCCAAAAACACTTTAGTACATCTATTCTACACTTCCCATCAATGACCCTCATCCAGACCATGCCATACCATCCATTGGAATACTGTTTTAGTATCTTTTTGTTAGTAGATATTTTGAGGTAGCAACCCCTTCGTTCCACACACTTTGACCGAGTCCAAATTCAATTAACGATTCAGACAACGTCCTCTTTCAATTAACATGCGATTTGCTCTGTCCGATACTCCATTTTTTTGTCGAAATTTTCTTTTCTTGATCAGCATAAAATTCTATGTCGATTTAGCGATGTCTGGCCGTCTGTGGAAATCACACTAGCTTTTGAATGAAATGAAGTAAGTTGATAAAATTTTACTCAAATGTATATTATGTCTGCAGGACTTTTGGTATTGAAAATGTGCCATATAGGTCCGCGTTTGGTATATCCCCCTATATTCGATATTTTGGTGATTTAAGCGACATTATTAACCGGGATTGTTTTAAATTTGGTATTTGATATTCGTAATGTATACTACAGCCTATGACAGAAAAGTGTCTGTGCAGGTCCACGTCGTCGTATAGCCCCCATATAACAGTACCTCCCGATATTCGATATTTTAATGATTTTAGCGACATTATTCACGGGAATTGTTTTAATTTTGGCATTTGAAGTTCGTAATGGATACTACATCCTATGACAAAAAATTTTGTAAGCTGGTCCACGTCCTTGTATAGTCTCCATATAACAGATTTCATTTAAGTGGTAGTTTCCGGAGCTTTTTTTTAATTTTCCAAGTTCTTTCCAAATGATATTAAAAGTTCGGCCCGACCGAGCTGCTTTTTTACTTGTTTATTTTATTTATTTATTTTATTTGATTTTTTTTCAATTTCTCCAATTTTCTTTATTTTTTTCAAATTGTTACGAACATCTCAAATCGCAATGGAAAATAATAAATGCTAAATAAAATCGACTCAATGGAAAAAAATGATATTTATAGGTTTATGTAGCATTGTAATACTTTAACTACAAACTACTTTTATTACTATAAATTAATACAAATAAAAATATGCCTAACTAAAGAGGAGATAAAAAACAATACTTTTGTGGTAAATAAATGAAATAAATTCAAAATCAAATAAAAAAAAAAAAAATTGTTTTGATTCATAAAAATGGTAGTTAGGTTTTGATGGGTTCTGAATTGATTAAAATATTTAGGAGAAATAATTTTTCCTTTTTATACCCTCCACCATCCATGTTATTGAGAGTATATTAAGTTCGTCATTCTGTTTGTAACTCATCAAAATAATAATTTTGGACATAACAAAGTATATACAGGGTAAGACAAAAAAACTACAACCAACTTCAGACTGCTGTCATTTCTAAGCCACTCGTCCGATAGCTGTTAAAATTATTCCAGTGACTGCTCATTATATTTTTTACAAGAGTACAAAAGCATTTTGCAGAGAATTTTCCAGAAAAAAGTTATTCATGATGGAATTCAAGCGTGATAGTGTGATTTCTTTATATTTGGCTGGAAAACCACAGGTGACTATCGTTAGAGCGCATTCCAGCATTTAAATGTGAATAAATCTTTTGGGTCTCGTATCATCGCTCGTTACCGTGATACTGTTAATGATAGCGTAGCCCGACGTCAAGGAAGTGGACGGAAGAAAACAGCAACATCAGCAGAAATGTTTCGAAAAGTAAAGAAGCGACTTGATCGAAACCCGCGTCACGTGTCTGTGGCCCGCAAAAAATGGCTCGTGAGCTCAACATATCGCAATATTCCATTCGGCAAATACTGAAAAATGAGCTCGGCGGGGTAAACCATTAAAATTCCAAATAGTGCAAGAACTTACACCGCAACAGAAAGAAAATAGACTCAAAAGAGCTAAAGAGTATCTTCACTTGGCCGAAAATGAAGTTCTGAACTGCCGAATTTGGTTTTTTCCTCTCCGATGAGAAAATATTCGTTGTCCAGCAGTTTGTAAACAAGCAAAATGATCGTGTTTACTTGCCAAAGAGGTCAGCTGTAAATGTGCACCTTCTGTTGGCCACCAGACCTCAAACGCCGGCCATGGTGATGGTGTGGACCATAACGCCATAACAGGCGATGGTCGCTCTCCGTTCGTATTAATTGACCGTGGTGGCATCAGAATAAATGCCGAATATTATAGCGAAAATATTCTCGAGGGTGTATTAAAGCCTTGGGTACGCAAACATTTTGGCCGCAGACCTTGGACATTTTAACAGGTATCCGTCGCACTCATCGCCACCCAAGACTGGTTACAAAATGAGTTTCCTCGCTTCATATCCAACGCACAATGGCCACCACAATCTCCGGATACCATTGGACTATTGTGGACCGTTGGACTATTGTGTCAGGAGTATTTTGGAAAGGTTGGCAAGGTTGGCACTAAAAAATATCAAAGTGCCGATCGCCTCAAGCAAGCGCTTCACCGGGAATGGGCCAAAATACCGCAGAGCAACATTCGGGCAGCGTGTGACGGTTTCATTGTCCATTTGAAGGCCATAATTCGTGACAAATGTGACCAATTCGAATAAATCTAAACTTATTCTAAAATTTGATGCTATTTCCGACATTTTTGCATTCATTTAATAAAATTTAAAAAAAAATTTGAAAATTATGGAGTTTGACTTTGTTGCAGTCTTTTTTTATCTCACCCTGGAAATATCAAAAATATGCTTTTAATTTTTTAACATATTTTCAAATCATGTTAAAAAAATGGTTTTAGCCTTTTTAAAAAAAATATATAAAAAATTACCAAATATAATTTTCAAAATATAATTTTCTTTTTTTTTAAGAAATGTTTAAAATATATTTTCAAAGTTTTTATGAGAAATCTTGAAATATTTAAAAATATTTTATAAGAATTTTAAAAATAAAAATAAAAAGTTTCAAAATATATTTGAATAAATAATAATAAAGAAGAATTTGAAAGAAAATCAGAATTTCACATTTTTTTCAGATGTTCACTTTTGTATCCCTAAATATTTCCTTAAATATGCCCTAAATATTTCCGATTTCTTTTATGTTGAGATTTGTGTTCCAAGATTGTTACAGAAAAAATATGCTCTCCCGCTAGATTTCAAAGGATTTTCTTTAAAGAAAAAATGGTCCACAGTTTTGATATTTTTTATGCTTTAGAAATCCATTTAAAAAAATCTTCCGACTTTCCTTACATATAAATATTTACCTGTAAAGTTGGAGTTTTTCTAAAATTTTGCCATCAAGTAAACTTGGAAAATTTATTCCAAAAATATTTGACAATATTTTATTTTATTATTTTTTTAATTTATCAACGAAACGAAATTGTCTGTGTATTTTTAATTAAAAAAAAACTTTAAATTTTCTGTTAAGACGTTTTGGGATTTAATATAAAAATACCACAGCACCTTGTATATCTGTGTAAAATTTCGCTAATTTATATTTTAAGTAAAATTATTCCGAAAGTTTTTCGTAAAAATAAAACGTTTCAATATTCCCAAAAAATAAAATGGCCCTGCGTCTGAATTTGAAGAAACTATCCAATGACATTGTCAAACCAATGATGCTGACCAAAACAATATCCAGAAACAGATCAAATTTGAGTAAGTAAAATACGGTTTTATTTTCGAAAACTAAATTCAGCTGAATTCGGCTGGTTTGATCATTCGCCATAGAGGGTCTATATTTAGCTGAAAAAAAAATATTTTCTATAGAAAAAGACCCCTATTTAAATCGGAATTTTTTCATAGAAATCCCAAATTTTCAAGGCTAAATTAAGGATTTCCTGTTGAAATTTCCTTTGCGTCAAGCTGAACTGAATTTAAAATTTCCTATGGAAATTTCCATTCATTCGAGCCGAATAGAAGTATCCCCATACGTAATCAAATTATGTTTATTAAAATCTTTCCCATTGCAGCTCCCATGGCTGGCTGGTTAGAAAAGCCCCGAAGTTTATTGTTTCATCCCAAAAATATTATCAAACATGCCGAGGTAAGTGACGAAAAAATGTTCTTATTCTAATCAGGTTTTTAAATACTTACCACATAACCATTACTAAGCTAAAAATTTATTAAAATAGAAGTTTAGAAACTTGTTTCAAAAATTCACAAATAATTAATCTCATTGTGAAAAGGAAAAATTTTTAAGAATTTAAATTTAAAAAAAATCTCTCAATATTACTAGTTCTACTTCCAAGTTCTTTCTACAGTTTTCTTTTTATTCAAATTAATAAAAATCTAATTATTGAAATTATTACCGAAAAAAATGCGTTACATAGAAGCGATATGTAGGGGGGCAGCTCTAAAGTACAAAATAATAATAAAAAAATAATGAAGAAATAAAATAATTTAAAAAAATATATGTTTTTGAAATTACAAAAATAACTCCAAAAATAAAGAAACTAAATACTTTAAAATAGATTAAAAAATCTGGTATAAAGATTATATTATATTTTTTTTAATTTTTTTTTGTTAACAAAATAATTAAATGATAATAAAATGATTTAAGACATTTTAATAATAAAAAATTATTTTTGAAAATATATTTTTAAAAGTAGAAAAAATAACAAAAAAAATATCAAAAAAAAAAAAATAGTTTTAAAAAGTCTGGTGTAAAATTTTTATTGTATGAATATATTAAAAAATAATAAATTATTTTTAATTTTTTAACAATTTTCAAAATATGTTTAAAATATGTTTTAAGACATTTTTAATTTTAAAAAATATATAATTTAAATTACAAAAATAACTCTAAAAATAAAAAACTGAATAAGAGAAAACAAACACATAAAAAACTGAATATTTTAAAATAGATTTAAAAAATCTGGTATAAAGATTATATTATAATTTTTTTAACAATTTTCAAAATATGTTTGAAAATGATTTAAGACATTTTAATAATTAAAAATATAAAATTATTTTGAAATTATATTTTTACTAAATATTTAAAAAATAGGTTTAAAAGATTTTCAACATATATATTTTAAAAAGATATTTTTTTAATTAAATATGATTTTTTTTAACAAATTTTAAAAATAAAAAATATATATATTAATAAACTATGAGTAATATTTAAATAATATTTTTAAAATTTTTTTTAGAAATGTATAAATTATATTCTAAAAATTTTAATGAAAAATCTAAAATTTTATTATAATAAATTTTCAAATATAAAATTAAAATTTTTCAAAACATATCTAAAAATATTTCAAAACGTATTTTTGAAATTCTATTAATTTTTTTATGAAATTGTAAGAATTTAACAAATTTTTTAACAAATTTTCAAAATATATTGAAAATGTCTTCCAAAATATATTTTTAAATTTCTTTAAAATTCTATTTATTTTTTTATGAAATTGTAAGAAAAATTTCAATACATATTTAATAAAATAATATTTTTTAAAGAAATATGCTTTAATTTTTTAACAAATTTCTTTTAGACATGTTTAAAATATATATTAAAATTTTTATGAAAAATATTAAAATATTTAAAAATCTTTATAAGAATTTTAAAATATATATATAAGAAAAATTTTAAAAATATACTTAAAAAATGTTTTCAAAGATTTTTATTCTCCGAAATTTTTTTTCAACTTCTATAAATATATTTTTATTCTCACAAAAATATTTAAAAAATTTTTAATAGATTTAAGAATACATTTAAAAAAATTAAGAAGATTTAAAGTGTTTAAAAAGTGTAAGAAATGAAAGTATAAGAAAATCCAAATAAGTTGTTTTTTGCATAGTTAAAAAAATAATATTTTTTTTAAGAAATTTTCAAAATATAATTTCAAAACTTTTGTTTGAAATTTCAAAAAAATATTTTAATTCTCTCAAAATATTTAAATACATTTTAATTGATTTTTAAAATACATTTTTTAAATCTTAAAATACTTAAAAAGTATTAGAAATTAAGAAATCATTTTAATTTTAAAGGAATTTTCGAAACATAATTTATGAGGAAAATTTCAAAATATTTAGAAAAAAACTTAAGATAGTTATAAGAAATTTTCCTAAAATAATTATTTTATTTTTTTAAATATATTTCATTTTTCACAAAAATATTGAAAAAAAAGTTTAATAGATTTTAAAAACTCATTTTTAAAAAGTATTAGAAATTTAGAGAAAAGAAAATTGTAATACGTTGTTTTTTATATAAATAAAAAATTATTTTATATTTTTTTAAACAAATTTCGAAACATAATTTCAAGATTTTTGTATGGAATTTCAAAATATTTAGGATAAATCATAAGATAATTAAAAGAAATTTTCTAAAAATAATTAGTTGTTTCTTTTTTTAAATATTGTAATTCTAACAAATATTTTTAAATTTTCTTTAATGGATATTAAAAATGCACTTTTAACAATTTTTTTAAGAAATCTTAAAATTTAAAAAGAGTATTAGAAATTAAAAGAATAAGAAAATTCTATTACGTTGTTTTTTTATATATGAATAAGAAAAAGTTATTATTATTTTTTTTGAGAAATTTTCTAAACATATTTTAAAATTTTCTGCATGAAATTACAAAATAGTTAGAAAAAAAATCAAAAGATAGTTATAAAAATGTTCTGGAAATAGTTTTCTTTTTAATTTCAAAAAATATATTTTAAATCTTACAAAAATATTAATTTTTTAATGGGTTTTAAAAAAACATTTTTAAAACTTTTTTTAAGAAATCCTTAAATATTTAAAAATTATAGGAAATTAAAGAATAATAAAATTGTAATTGTTGTTTTTTTATATAAATATAAAATTATATTTTTTAAGAAATTTTAGAAACGTAATTTCAAATTTTTTCTCTGAAATTTCAAAATATTTAGAAAAAAAAAATCATAAGATTGTTATAAGAAGTTTTCCAAAAATAGTCTATTTATTTTTAATTAAAAAAAATAAATTTTAGTTTTCTCAAAAATTTAAAAAATGTTTTAATATAGTTAAAAAATATTTTTTAATTTGATTTTAAGAAAACTTAAAATGTTTAAAGGAATATTCTAATAAGTCGTTTTTTTATATAATTAAAAAATAAACTTTTCTTTAAGAAGATTTCGAAATACAATTTCAAATTTTTTATGTATGAAATTTCAAAATATTTGGAGCAAATCATTTTTAATTTCAAAAAATACATTTTAGTTCTCTCAAAAATATCTAAAAAAATTAAAAAAAAAAAAATAAATTTTTAAAACTTTTTTGAGAAATCGTAAAATGTTTAAAATGCACAAGAAATTATATAATTTTTATATAATTAAAAATAATTTTTATTTTTTTTAAGAAATTTTCGAAACATCATTTCAAAATTTTTCAAAATATTTAGAATAAAAATCATAAGATAGTTGTAAGAAATTATCCAAAAAAGATTTTTTTTTAATTTCAATAAAACATATTTTTAATCTCAGAAATATTTAAAAAAAAAATTAAAGCATTTTAAAAATTATTTGAAGAAGTTGTTAATAGTAAGAAAATACTAATACATTGTTTTATATAAATTTATAAATTTAAAAAAAAATTAAGAAATTTTCGAAACATAATTTCAAAATATCTAAAAAAAATTTATAAAATATTTTCAAAGTATTATTTTAAAATTCTAATATTATATCCAAAATACTGCAGATACTTATTTGCGACAAAGAAAAGCTAAAACACAAACTACTTCAAATGGTTACTTTATTGTTGTTGTTGTTTTATTTCAGTGATAATAATAGTAATAATGTTTTTTTTTTAATAATAATTGATATTATTGTTGTTTGTTCATTTAATACTTGTTTACGTTGTTGTAATACAACAATTACGTTACGTTACATTACATTACGTTTGTTTATACGTTTACGTTAAGTATAAGTGATATGACTAAACTATATATTTACGACAAATGGAAATGAAAAAAAAAAAAAACAAAATACTGTTGAGTGAAAATTTCTAAAATGGGTATGTCTAGAATTAAAAAAAATATATGAATTCAATGAAACTGATTGAAGATTTCCATGGAAATCTTTGATTTAATTTAATTTTTTGGGGACAATGCAAAAATAAAAATCTCAAAAAGCCGTTATTACAAATTAAATATTGAAACTAGAGTTTACTGAGAGGAAGAAAAAAATAATCAAAGAGAAGCAAATAATTTTCAAAAAAATTTCATTATTGTTTTACTACGACAAATATGCGCTAGGTTTACAACATTTTGAATTTTTTGTTTTTTTTTTTGTTTATTTTTTTTTTTTTTTTTTTTTTGGTTTATGTCTGAACTATTTTCTTGGACACTACTAACAGAGCAACACAAAACTACAAATACATAGATATATTTTTTTTGCAACTTCACAAATAGGTTTCTTAAAAATATTAACTTTTTGTTGTTGTTTTTAAATTTGAGATAATAATACTGGAATAAATATTGTTGTTGGAAATTTTCAAATAACTAACATCATAAAGTTGGATATATAAATATATATATAATTGGCAACATTATATAACAAGCAAAAATTGTTGTATTGAATTTCTGGTGTCGATAGATGAATTGATTGTTTGTGTGTCAAAGTCTTGTTTTTTTGCTTTCAACCACAATTTTTTCAATTTTTTTTTTCAATATTTTTCTAATTTTTTATTTATGTACAGGGTGAGATGAAAAAAACTGCAACCAACTTCAGACTACTGTCATTTCTAAGTTACTCGTCCGACAGCTGTTGAAATTATTCCAGTGACAGCTCATTATATTTTTTACAAGAATTTTGGTGAAAATTTTTCAGAAAAAAAAGTTATTCGTGATGGAATTCAAGCGTGATAGTGTGATTTCTTTATATTTGGCTGGAGAACCACAAGTGGCCATCGTTAGAGCACTCCAGCATTTAAATGTAGCCCGACGTGCAGGAAAGGGACGGAAGATAACAGAAACATCAGAAGAAATTGTTCGAAAAATAAAGAAGCGACTTAATCGAAACCCGCACCACAGTGGCCCGCGAAAAATGGCTCAGGAGCTGAACATATCGCAATATTCCATTCGG